TATATATATATATATATATATATATATATATATATATATATATATATATATATATATATATACATAATTTAAAGTATATGTATTATGAAATAAGTTTCGTCAGAATTTAACGAAACTTGCATTACATACACAATAAAATATTATCTAATACTGCTCGTGTAATTAGAAAAAAATTGACTGTTTGATAGAGATATTTATAACTAAAGTTGATATTTTTCATACGTATTCCTTCAGTATGCAATTTTTATTTTTTATTTTTAATAATTTCTAAACTACACATATGCATGTGTGAGATTTATATAAGAAATCTCTATGGTATTAAAAACTAATATACAGGCTTTATATATAAATTTCCGAATTACTGACCTTTATGTTTCAAAAATACAGCAATAGAAAGTTCATAATTTATATAGCGATATTCGAAGTATATATAAATGTTTAAATACTTTTATAAATAAATAAATAAATATATATATATATATATACATGTATATATATATGAATATATGTTTATATATGTGTGTGTGTATATATATATATACATATTTGTATGTATAAAAGCATTTAAACATATAGGGTTATATATATATTTATTTATTTATTTATTTATTTATTATTTTTATTATTTATACATCTCTATTAGATAAAGTGATGCATAAATAAAGTAAGAGAAAGAAGAGCAATGGCGCACTTTTCAGTATTAAAAATACTGGATAATAAGTAATTATCAATGATTCTTCGTATGATATTTCTATAAGGGTTATTGGTTGTATATTAATTATATATAATTAATTTCTTTGTATTTGTAATATTGGGTACATATATTTATCATAATTTTGTTTCAAATTAACAATGACACTTAGATAGTGAAATAAATATATAGAAAAATAATTTTATTTAATAATCAAGCGACACGGTAGTTTCGCGAAGCCAAGTGCAAGCGCGAAGCAACGCGGTCTACCGTGTATAATTACGCGATGGTTTTAGTTGAATGTAGGTTAGATTCTTATTTCGGCTATAACGGCTGAATTGACGAAGTTCTGAAGGAACTTAATCGATTCCTTGGGTTTATATTATATAATAAAACTTTATTTTACTTTTTCTCTATCTACTCCAGAAGCTGAGCTATCTTAGCTCAAAGTTTGAAATCGTGAATTTACGCGTAAGAAACGTCGTCTCACCATAGAAAAGTCCGTTGACTATGTTTCTCTGTTAGATGGCGGGATGTCGAGAGTGTTATGATTACTTTACCGACTTGTAACTGTCATCGCGGCGAAGTCGAGTGACAGTTCGCGTGTACGAGAATGGAGTTATAATGAGTTTATATTTTTAATGTAATAGTTTTAAAAGTTGCGAAGTATGTTTATCGTGATAATTTTGAAGAAAAGCTATGGAGTTGACAAGGATAATATCAGATAAGTATCGGCGAATGTATAAAAATATATAACGATGTAAAACTTGAATATTTTGTGTCGTTTTTACTTTTTATAATTAAATTAAATAATAAGGAGAAAAAGGAGGAAGGAAAAGAAAAGAAGAAGAAAGAAAGAGAGAAAGGAGAAAATGTGCGAGAAGAAATGAAGAAGAGACAGAAAGAATGATGATAAATTATAAGACGATAAAAAAACTATAAGAGAGTGAGATGGAAAGACAAGAAAAATATATAAGTAAGAGAATGCATAAATAAAAGGATAGATAATAAATAAATAAATAAATTTTTTGTCTGCCGCGATAGTAAATAAATATTGCTTTACATAATATAGGATAACTTATAAGGATATAGAACTAGGATACTCTTTATGTTATTTATACTTTTATTATTTTTAAACAAAGTAAGAAGAAAGGAAGAAAGAAAGAAAGAAAGTACAGAAAGCGAGAAGAAGAGGAGAAAATATAAGCAGAGAAGATAGTACACAGTGTGATGATAAGTAAGAGAAAATAAAAATGAAACAAGAAGATAGAAAATAGAGAGATGCAAGATAGTATATAGAGTAAATAGGAAAGGTTACTTTTTAAAAGTAATTCATTATTATTACTCGTTATTCATAAGAAAAGTATGTTGCTACCGTTATATTTCATTATTAGACAGAAAGGAAGAGGCAGTGTTGTAAAGAGAAAAAGAGGAGAGACTGTGAGAGAGAGAGAGAGAGAGAGAGAGAGAGAGAGAGAGAGAGAGAGAGA